TTTTTTGTGGTGCTAGAAATTGAACCCAGGGCCTCATCATGCTAGGCAAGCATGCTATCACTAAGTTATACCTCCAGATCTTATCAATCATATTTTAACTGTGAAGTCAACAGGATCGCTCATGAATATAAGAGCCTTCTCCCCGGATGCCTTAATACTTTGATATTTATAGCTGGCAGTACAGATTAAAACAATTGACATTCGTTGAAATGCCACATTTTAGCTGACTTGAAAGAGTTTTTAGTTTCTGCTGTTTGAGATTTTGGTATATAAATGGCAAAATTTCTACTGTGGCCACATTTCTAATCCTCCCTGAGGGCCTCTCACTCTTCTCATTTCTAGGTTGAGAACATTTTATCCAGGTTGTTGGCATGTACATCATTCTGAGAAGGAAATAACTCTGAATGTTTGATATTTGAACTGTCTTCTGACTTTGAGAGCTAATACCCAGGACTTCTCTCTAATTCATTAGTATTTGTCCTTTCTCACTAAACCAAGAACATTCATGGGTACCTACTTCATGCCTTAGATCAGGGATAACCAGTTGCTTTCACTGAATATCAGTCTCATTTGGAACTATTGGGAGTTCTGTATTTGTGAGGATTGGAAGGCCTTGGCTGGGCAGAAAGGAGCTGGAGTTGATTAACAATGTCTGCTACAGATGCAACATGGAGAAAAGTAGCATATGTACTGTCCCAGGACTGAGGGTCTCCAGCTCTTACGTTCTAGGTCTTTTTCAAAATTAAGATAATTCCTGTGATAAATCATTTCCAAGGCGTGGTTATGAGGAAGAATGTTGTTGCCTTCTTGTTTTTTGGAGCTTTTTCTTAGTTGAAGTCTCTCTGTCTCTTCCTTTGCTTTTCTTCTAGTACTGGGGATTGAACCCAAAGCCTTTGCACTGAGCTACATGCCTCCCCTCCTTTTTTTGAGATAGTGTCTTGCAAAGTTGCCCAGGCTGGCCTCTAACTTTCAGTCTTCCTGCCTCATATCAAGTAGCTGGGATTATAGGCATGTGCCATATTGTGCCCTGCTCTCCAGCCTCTTTAAAATTTATTTTTGAGATAGTGTCTAGTAAGTTGCCCAGGCTGGACTTGAACTTGTGATCCTCCTGCAAGTCTTCCGAATAGCTATGATTACTGACATACACCACCACACCTGGCTATCCTCAGCCCTTTGACATTGCCTTTCCTGACCCAGTAATCTTATGGAAAGAGGCAGTTCCATCCAAGGAAGCACAAAGGTTTGAGGTGGGGGCAGGATGAGGAACTGCGCTTAAGAATCTCTGGATTGCTAGAGTGATCTAAGAAGCCTGGAGGACAGGTAGATGCTGGCTTGTGCCTATTCCTTGTGATTTGGGGGAATTTGTATAAAATATTAGGAGCTGGCAGATGCCCCAGTCTGGAGCCATGGTTCCTACGAGCCTCTCTCGGTTTAGGTTTCCCCTGGAACCCAATCACTGGCCACATTGTTCAGAACCTACCCCACCCCCTCAACCTATTTCTGAGGCCACCTCTAAGGAGCCATGGAAGAATGGCCTTCCCTCTGGCTATGAACTTGGCAAGGCAGCTGGGCATCTTTCCTGGGACTTGGTACAGAATCCCCTGGAAGAACAAGTGTCACCAGAAAACTCCAGGGACCTTCCAGGGTCCTCCTCCTTCTTGGCCCTAGTCGGGGGCTCAGCTGGGCCTCAGCAACCCCAGTCTTCTTCCTGGAACTTCTCCTCTGCTAGGTTAAGGGTTTGCACAAGTATCCCGAGCCTGTTCTCTGCTGCAGGGATGTGTTTGTGACTAGAGTCTGGGCACAAGCTGGCAGCCAACACGTCTCTGTCTGCTGCTTAGAGAGACCCATTGTGTGTGCAGCTCTCATGCCAGGGCCAGCTTGGGTCCTTGGAGACCAGGCCTGGGAGAAGAGGGAGGGATTACCATGAGCGAAATTCCTCTCTTCCCTTGTCTGGTGTGGTTGGACTGACAGTGGTAATAGTGAGTCTGGTATACATTTAAAACATAATACTAAAAGGCAATAAAAACTGATAAAGTAAATTTTTAGTGCACTCTACAAAGTAGGAAAAGTACATCCCTGGCAGAGACCATCCCTGCACTCCCACCATGGACCCCAGAACCTCACACATGCTAGGCAAGTGCTCTGCCCCCAAGTTGCATCCCCACCCTGGAAGCTCTTCCTAGGCAGGAAGCACATGTAATTTGTCTCTGAGCCTCCAGGCCTGGAGCTCACCGTAGATCTTAGTGAGTGTTTGGGTATCAGCAGGGTGCAATCTTTGACCTTTTCTTCTTCTTTTTTTTTTTTTCTTCTAGGCAGGCGCTGTGCCGCTGAGCTAATCCCCAGCGCCAACCCTTTCTTCTTTTCCTTTAACTTTACACTTGCAGTTGACTTGCCTAAATGTTGTGGAAGGGGCTCAGCGCTCCTGCTGGGCTTGAGTGGTCCCTGAGCCTTTGTGTTATGAGTCCTTGAAACTCTGAGAGCAGCCCCTTCCAGGTCCTCCCTGGGAGGCAGACACTGTCAGGTGCCGTGGCTCTTTGCATTACCAGCTTCAGAAGTGCGATGCAGCTAATTTGGGGCTACTTTGTCCTGTTGGGCTGAGTGTGTTGTGCCCCACGATGCGCCGAGGGGTTCCTGTTGCAGGAACAGGCAGGAGGGGAGCCCACGGTCAGGTCTCCCGTGACTCAGATCTGTCACTCTGACCATTGTTCACAAGGGAACATTTATTTGGCTGTGTTCACACATAACTTTGGACCACGTGACTCTCAACAGACAAAACTTAGGCTATTCCAGCCCTGGCCTGATCCCAGTCCCTGATTAAAATGCCTGTGGCCTCAGGAGGCAGGCTCTCTGTCCCTGATTAGCTGTGTACCCCTGGCTGCTGGTGGAGGTGGAGGAAAAGATGACAGTAATCACGATGGTAGCTGCTCTTTATTGAGCAACCACCATGTGCGAGGCGTTGTGCTGAGTGCCTCAGATTTCACTGAGTCCACAGTGCTGCTCCTGTGAGGCAAACTCTTCATCCATTACCCTGATGAGACCATTAAAACAGAGAGGTGAAGCTACTTGCCCATGGTCACAAAGTGGCAGAGGAGAATATTAGCTCAGATCTGTGAGGAGTCAAGCCCAAGGTCTTTTTTTAAAAAAAATTCTTAAATATTTATAGTGTACTGCAAGTCATATTCCCCCTCTGAGGCTTATTTTATCCATCTGTTAAACAAAGATTTCAATCCATCTCACTGAGTTGGTGAAATTAGGTGAAGGTGTGTTTGAGAGTATTGAAGTTGGTGCTTGGTATACAGTAAGCATTCATTAAGTGCTTCTCTCTCCTATTACTAAGGTACTAGAAGTCTGAATCTAGGGTTCCTGGTTTGATAAGGGCCTTTCTTACCTCTGAATCTTGGTTTGGATACTTTGGAATGTGGTAATATATTTTGGAAAAATCAACTAGATTTATAAAAAATTAAAAAGTAATACATGCTCATTTAAAAAACCCAGAAGAGTATAAAGTGATCATTTCATAGAAATAAACACTTGATATTTTTTGCATACTTCCTTTCAGAAAATTTTCATAATTTTTTGTTTTTCTTCTTTTTTTTTTTTTTTCTTTTTTTCTTTTTTTGTCTTTTTGAGACAGGTTCTCACAATTCAGTTCAGGCTGGTGTTGAACTCACTTTATAGCCCAGGCTGGCCATGAACTTGTGACGATCCTCCTGCCTCAGCCTCTGTTTGGTTGCTTTTTTGTTTTTGTTTTGTTCTTTTCTGTTTTTGAGGCAGGGTCTTGGTGTAGTTCAGGCTAGCCTTGAACTCACTCTGTAGCTTA